CCCCCCCCCCCCCCCTGAGTTAGCCTTCCAGTTTATTTATAGTTCCATGGCCTGTACTGTTCTGTGGAAGGTGGAGGTTTGGCGCAAGATTGTGTATACGTATGACTTCGGTTGTTCCTTACATATTTAGACAGAGAGTGGTCTAAGACCAAATTTGCTTGGACCATGGGCTCTTTGCAGTTTGCATACAGGAGTGGGATTCTCAAAACAATGAATAGACAATGGAGGAATGCTGGAATTCCGAAATAATTTTTGAATATTTTCTTCACAGGATGTAAGAGGGATTCCTACAAAACGACCTGTGATCGACTACTTTCTGTGACAGCAAGAGTTTTAATCTGCGGTGTTGCCACAGGACAAGGGATACTTTGTTTAGTGAAAATGAAGAGGCCCGACCTTGGGTGTTCGCTCGTATCAGCTCACTTTTCCATGAACATTTTTACAGAGAGACAAAGTTTTTAACCTTAATTAATATGCTAGCAGGCAAGTGTCTGTGGTGTATTATACGAACAAAAACAGAAATTCTTAACATAATTTCAACGTTTTATCGTAGCAATGTTGTAATTATATAATATAATAAAGTTAGTAACTTGCATTGACCCATCGTGTCATTTTCACGACCTGGAGCTGGACTTTTCCAAGAATGCATTGGAATAATCGATAAATGGGGAATGCCTTCGTCTCTAACCCCTCTTATAAAATGTTCAACCCCACCAAAATTTCGCTTCACCGCTCCTATTTTGTGTGAAATCCTAACCCTAAGGTCCTGTTACACGGTGCAATTTTTCATGCAACTTGTCTCGCAATGTTTAAAAAAGATTTTGATAATGCATTGCAAGAGGTGGTGTTACACGCTGCAATGATTTTCATGCAACTCGCAACGATAGGAGACAGAGGCATGCGAAGAGACTAGGGAGAGGCGCTATTTGGCGCCAAATTTTAATTAAAGTAAAGCGTGTACTGGGGAGAGCCAATAGGAACTCTCCAAGCTATAAACATTGCGAGACAAGCAGAGTGACCAGATTTTGCATAATTATGCTAGTTTAGCATAATTTCACAATTTTTTTAAGAGATTTGGAATAATGAAAAATTTAGCATAATTTTAGCATAAAATAACTGCTTGAGCATATTAAATGTTAACATAATGCTGAAAAACTTCTTTTTGCAAGTTTCAAATATGCTCTTTTGTAAGGGGGAGGGGTGGAAATTCGAGGAAAAGTAGTCTAAAATGTCTATTGACGAAGTCCAGATGAGGACCCCCAACCATGTATATGTATAGCGCTCAGTCTGATTCCCTGGACACGTCACGTGATACATGGTCATGGCGTCTTTCTCTGGTTCAAACTTTCACTTTCATAGACTCGTATGTCATTCGTTCTGCTATCAGCCGATGGCATTTAACAGTTTTACAAATTAATATTTTATCCATATTTTAATCAAATCTACATTTAGCATAATTTATCATGATTTAGCATAATTTTCTCAGCTATTTAGCATAATCGAATTTTATAACTTGTGGTCGACACACTGGAGACAAGTTGCACCGTCTTGCACGAAGCCATGTTACACGCTGCAATGCTAAAAATAATTAGTGCAATCGTTGCCAAAAGTAGAACCGACTTCTACTCTGTGCAATGCTTCATGCAACTTGTCTCGCAACGATTTTGGCCATTGCAAGGCATGTTAAACGGTGCAATGACTCGTGCAACTTGTCTCGCAACGTCATTGCCAGGCATATTTTTCAAGTTCGCTCGGTGTGGATACATGCTCAGAGTAAGGGACCGGTCATTATTTATGGTGGGGGGTGGCACCGAAGAGAAAATGGTTGGGTAAACAAAATTTTGACTGAGTAAAAGTTGGGTAAATGAAAAACAAAACAACTCAAGGGATGGGTAATAAAAATTTATTGTCATTTCCAAAGCGTAACTCACTGAAATATTGCGGACTAAAAAGCACTGTCAACAGTCATATGTCAATACAATATTTGAATCAATCAGAGTCACTATCTTGATCATTTTCCGATTTGTTGGAAGACAAATGGTGTCTCCAAAGAAAGTACATGTGCAGACAACGTGACACTTTAGACTGCAGAAAATTTCACAATCCGTTATCAAACTATGTCACAGAAGTGGTAAGGGACTTGTGTGACAACTGAATGGTATCTTTTTGTAATGTTTTTGACCAGGGGTGGGTATTTCTTTTTTAATTGATATTTGAGGTTGGGTAATCAAATATTTTACTTTTTAATGGTTGGGTCAGCAAAATTTTTGGCACGAAAAACATTTCTCTTCGGTGCCACCCCCCACCATAAATAATGACCGCTCTAACATCACAAACATATGACAACTTCGTCATGCATAAAATTCACTTCTGATTTACGCACCTAACATCATCACCATTATTTTCACCGTTTTTCTGGATTTTTATTTAAACTCTGAACTAAATGTAAAACACGATAATTGTAAAACCTATATTAAGAATTCCTGTGAATCTAGACAAAAAATGTCCAGGGTGTCCGCAATCTCGTTCCCAGACCCGAACCTGCGAACGGGCATGCTCTGGGTACGAGGTTGGGGTGTCAGCTTGACAGATGCTATCGATCAAGCATGCGTGAAAGAAAATCAAGCTTTTCCAAAATACAATCTACTTCCTTCTCCCAGATGTTTCCCAGATGTACTAACGTATACTTGAGATAACCCTAACATCAAAGGGTGGACACGAGCAGGCTAACACCCTATATTTCTATATTCCTTATCTATTACATTTAACGTAAAACTTAGCAAAAAAATTTACAACATGAAAATCTTCTACAACTACATATATAAATCAACTATTATATTACTACTTTCTAAAATGAAATACTGAAATGAACGTTCTTCTCGTCTTTTTTAATTAAATGATGTCACACATATGGACGTAAATATAAAATCCACGAATCCTGTGAAGCTTCTGATCCCCGACTGAAAGCTCGGTCTTTAAATGTCACCATCTTTTTTGTTTTTCATCAGCCAACATGATCTCCGTCCTTCATAATTCACGAACAATTTCTCAGAAATCTACATCCCTTGCGTTCAACCAAATAATTTCACGAAACATGAATGACAGTACGGCTTGTCATTCTGTTCCTTGAACGTGCCCTTATTTAACTGCTTCAAGCAAAAAGCACAAATGAAATGTTCCGGGTGAAACTTGCGATGCATGGCAGTGATACAACGACCTGTGATAGGTTTCTGGCAGTTGTAACATAGGGTGCCACGTTTTGAGTGATAATGCATTTCACAATAAGGCTTGCCCTCGTGTTCGAAGAAACTCCCGCCTGGGAAGGGCTGGTGACATTCCTGAAATGAAGAAATATTTTGTTAAGTATAGACTTGAGTTTAAAGGAAACCTAAACTAAACTTTATCTATCCTGTAGAAACACTGAATCAATAAGAGATGATCCTTACTGGATTTCTAGGAAGAACCGTTTAGAACTGATAGAGATATCCAGCATACAAAATAAAGTTAGTTTGGTTTAGGTTTCCTGCTGTAGTAACACTGGATCAATAAGGCATGATCCTTACTGGACCTCTAGGAAGAAAAGTTTAGAACTGATAGAGTTATCTTGTATAAATAAAGTTAGTTTAGGTTTTCTCCTGTAGTAACATTGGATCAATAATTCAATAAGAGATGATGCTTACTGGACCTTTAGGCAGAACAGTTTAAAACTTTAGAAATGATATAGAGCTGTCCAGTATAAATACAGTTAGTTTAGTTTAGGTTTCTAATAGAGTTATGCAGTATAAATAATGTTATTTCAGTGTACATATGACAATGTCATACTTACATAGCAGACGAAACACTCCGGGTGCCAGTGTTGTCCCAAGGCAGCAATATAGTTATCCATGATAGGCTGTTCACACCCACCACATTTAGGAGCGAATGCGGCAAAGTAATCATCTCGGCAGAATGGTTTCCCATCTCTCTCGTGGAAACCTGAATCACCAAATGGCTTGCCACATTGGTGGCAGAAGAAATGCTCCTGATGCCAAGTCTTGTCCAAGGCAGTTACACATGACTAAACACAGATATTTAGTTTTTGTTAGGTTCTGTTTATCTGGACAGATTTAGTTGGTCAATTTATCATTTATTAATACAGTGTTTACACCTATTAAATGGATTGAAGACTGGTGCAACTTAACAAGTTAACAGGTTAACAAAATGACAATTAACAAAACATAGTTATTATATATTAGTGAGAGATAATTGTACTGCAAGTGTCCAGATAGATATTCTCAGTGGTGGATCCAGCAAGGTTTTTTGGAGCTGGGCAAACCAGCCAAACACAGTGAACCCAGACTGGGGAGAAGCATACTTTCATGAAAGTGCTCCTAGTAGTTTTTTGGTTGCAATTTACAGATATGTTGAATAAATATAATTTAATAATTATAGAAAATATAAATCCCCAAGACCTCAACAGTCAACATTACACAAATGAATTATTATTAATAATTAATCAAAAACTAAATTATTAACATAGGGTATCATGAACTAGTGCTGTAGTGCTGCCTTGAATTCCAAAATTTTAGTTGGCCTAAGATGAACTTTCAATACCTCAAACATACACCTCAAAGTAAGTTACATTTAACCCCCCATGCACCCCTATTGACCAAAGCCAACAGGGGTGCACACCCCTGTCCACCTCCCACCCCCATAAATCCACCACTGCATATTATGCAATGAACAGTAATCACACTTACATCAAGGATAGGTCCATTACAGTATGCACATCTTGGAGCATACAATTCATGATAATCTTTCTCGCAGAATGGCTTGCCTTCTCTCTCAAAGAAATTCCTCGAGCCCAGTGGCAACTCACATGCAACACATGTGAAATGCTCGGGATGCCACGTTTTACCAAGAGCTGTGCAAACCTGGCCTATGATTGGTTTATTACATGCAGCACACGTGCCTTTCTTCACCGTGCTCACACCCTGACGATT